CAAAATATCTCATGAACCATTGAACAAATTTAAACATGAGTTTTAATGTATTTATATTTTCTCAAATGGATTTGTCTATTTTAAATCAATGGCTGCTGCAGCCAACTGACCTTAAACACTAAAATAGCCACATTATTGACAGTTTAGCAGATATTTTGCTATAGTTTGGTGAGTTGCTGAAAGTTATTCACATCACAGACTCCAAGTGCTATTCATTGCATCTTTGATTAAAACTTAACTGTTCTGTTTGACTGTTAACAAAATATCTCATGAACCACTGGACAGATTTGAATCAAACTTTTATAAGTTGATGAACATCTACAACTTATTAACCTTTGGTGTCAATCCAAGTCAAGATGGCCACCACTGCTAAGCAAATTTAGCAAACACAAAAATGTTTATAACTCAGTCGGTTCCCTCATTTTTTATAAATTAACTGTGAATGATGCTATCGTGGATTATACACATATGTATTTAAAAAATTAATATTGTGGCACATGTTATGTCTTAAGGCTGTGCTGAGTGGTTAGAGCATTTGTCCTCCAATGCAAGAGTTGGGGGTTCAACTCCACCAGCAGTCACATGCTGAAGTGTCCCTGAGCAAGGCACTGAACTCCTCATTTCCTTCGATGTGTGTCCCATCAGTGTATGAATGTGATAGAGCACTGATTATTCTTTGTACAGATATAGAGTGCTGTATGAATGGGTAAATGAGGGCACAGCTTGTGTTGTACAGCACTTTGAGTATCTTGGTAGAAAGGTGATGTATAAGTACAGTCCATTTACCATGTAAGACTTTGTCTGGAGTACTTAGAAAACCTGGTGGCCTCCATCCTGGACCTGTTGTGTTTGTATTCTCCTTCCTGTTCCTCTCAAACCCAGCCGGTCGAAGCAGATGGCCGCTTGTCCTGAGCCTGGTTCTGCTAAAAGTTTCTTCCTCATGAGGGAGTTTTTCCTTTCCACTGTTGCCTCTGTGCTTGCTTACGATGGGAGACTGCGCTGAAGTGAAAACTCAGAGCAATCTGTTGGCTCCTCAGATAAATAACATTATTAACTGATTTTATATGTGAATGTTTCTGCACAGTGCCCTGAGACAACTTCTGTTGTGATATGACAATATATTAATAAACAGAATTTAATTGAATTTCAGTGACATGCTTGAAGCAGCATCTGCAAAAAAAAGTTATAAATATTGTAAAGCTGTTTTACTGAGAGCCAGTTAAGTGAGCTAAGATCCGTCCACACCTGTGTGCCACTTCAAATGGCAGCCTTCATTAATCAGATGAAGTCCGTCCGGGTAATTAAATTGTGAAGACGTGTTTATTAAAGCGCACCACCTTCATGTTTGGTGCGATGGTTTGATTCCTGGAGGTGGAGGCTCCGCGCTTCACCTGTAGGGCTTCACCCGGCGCTAGGACCCAGGGTGCGCGATTTTCATCTCCAGCTGCTGCAGACCGAAAACTGGCAATAAGGGAAGATCGCGAGGACGAGCCCGAATAGCTCGGTGTGTTCATTGTGCTCGAATCGAGCCGAGCCGAGCCGCGGCCCCTCGGCGGACAGAAGCCCGCGGCGGCAGCTTGTTGCTCGGTCAGCTTCCAGGCTGTCGGCGGCTCGGAGCGAGGTAAGCCGGAGCACCGCCGTCCGAGCTCCAATAACAAAGGCGTTCCGGGCAGGCAGGGGGCATTAAAGGGGGCACTGCACGACGCGAACCAGGGCGAGCGAAACTCCCGACAAACTTTGACCCGGATATTTAGCGTTTTTCTCCCCCCACACCCCCCGGTTCGTGTCTCGGAGGAGCCGTGGCTTCGCTGCTCACCCGCGGCTCGTGTCACATGTTCGGACCGCCAAGTTGGAGGTGACATCTGGGTGAAATCACCCGCCCAGAACCGTGACCCAGCTCAGCCCATCAATACGAGGTATTTGAATGAAACGCGATCTTTAACGTGATGTGAAAGGCTCGGTTCTGGCCCGTCCACCAACCTGGACTCCAGGTTATTGGACGGAACCATCCCCGTTCCCGTGATCAGCTCTCATCCTCCCTGCGATCACTTTTAGAAAACTGGACGCATGTTGTTTATTTGGACCTGGCTCGGCCGTGCTCTCAGGCCGGACCCGAACTGACCAGGTGAACTCAGACGGGACGTCCTCGTGAAGCATGGCGGCCTGAACCCGGTCCATAATCTCCCGCAGGAGGACCACTGTAAAGTAAACACGCTTCATTTGTGGAGGACACCTCGTGTTTGCACCCATAAGAAGTTAAAACATGTGATGTAGAGTCCGTGGACCGGTCCATCCAGTCGGTACCGGGAGGTCCCCCCCCCCCCCCCCCCCCCCCCCCCCCCCCCCCCCCCCCC